TGATATAATTTTATTTCAATTCTTTTTTTTGCATGTATTTTATGTAAATTTCATTAAATTACAACTTACATTTCGAGCAGTTTCAACCGCATCTGCATGTTTAATAAAATTACCCTCAATGCATTTTGCAATTAAAATAAGACCTTTGCCAGCTTTTAGCTGCGACACAAATGCAAATAATCCATTTTCGCTTTCTTTCGAGTCTGGCGCAATGACAAGTAATTGAGGACGCCAATTCTGAAATACTTACATTTCATTTTTTTTTTTTGGATCTTTGATGGATGAATGAGAAAGAAAGAGAGAGAGAGAGAGAGAGAGAGAGAGAGAGAGAGAGAGGGAGGGAGAGGGAAGAAAAAAAGAAAAAGAATTGAGATAAGAAGTGAACTGTTTAGTGACCATTATTGAATGGCACTTTTTTTTTAAACATATCTTTAAAAATTTTCTTGTCAAAAAAGTTTAGGACAAAAAAAAAGATTCTATTTTAAAAAAAGTGTTTTTTCTGTGACATACAATAGAGGAAGGATTGATATATTTAAATGTCCCACAGAGATAAAAAATTCCATCCGAACTTTTCTCTTTTTGAAATTTAACAAAAAAAAAAGGAAGAAAAAAAGCAATGCATTTTAACCACTTATGACCATTTAGCCATTTAACCAGATTTGTTCGTGAGATTTATTTGTTTATTTAATTTTTTTTTCTTTTTTGAAATAAAAATTTAGTTGAAAAAAAAAGATTTAAATTGCCATACTAAAATAATACTTAAAATTAGATGAATAAATTTAAAAAATTACATGCAAAGGATTGGTATATAAAGTTAGGAAAGAAGTGATAAGATTGGAATATATATGAATATATATATACCTTTGTATGTTGTGGACGATTTTCTACATTAAGAAGTGCAAAACGTGCTGCCGAAAGTTTCAAACCACGTAATCCGTCACCCCATTCTTTTTCCGCACCGGCATATTCGATATACTATAAACAGAAAGTAATAAAATGATGTGTATGAGTTTTTTTTTGTTGCATTATTCAAATTTATAGGTGGATTTTTGTCAAAAAAAAGAGTATTCTATGGAGATAACAATAAATAACACATGATGCTTATTTAATGTATATATCAGTTATTCAAGTAGGAGAGAGATATATTCATATCGAATAATTGAATAAATTTTGAATTTAACTTATTGGTTTATCAATAAGTTAAATTCAAAAATATAATTATAAAATAAAATGAATGAAATTAATTACTTTATAAACAGCAACTCCAATAATAATTGCAACAAGAGCATAATGCCAGGCTGAAATAAACATTACAGCGATACATAAAATTGAACCAAGCAATGATAATGACCAATGAAAGTAACGAAATAGTGGACGCCATCCAGGAGCACGAAGAATACTTTGTAAGGCACATGCTGTATTAACGCCCAAATAGCACATCAGAAAAAACCTGAAATTTTCATAAAAATATTAAATTTTTGCTAAATGAAAAATTGTATCTTTATGTTTTGTTTTATTTTTTTTCAAAAAATAATAACAATTTTTTAATATTTTGTTTTGTTTAAATTTAAAATTATTTGCAATAAAAGAAGGCAATCATTGTTATTTTGTTTAATCTTTAAAGATGTTACAATATGTTATTCGTTTACTCATTAAAAATGTTACAAATCATTGATTAAAGCAATTAATAATAATAACAACACTTACTGAGTGATAAGAGCAGTGATATTCTCAATAACTGCAATCAATATGCCACATTCACAGATAAATAAAGTTAGTAAGATTGCAAGGATCGGTTCACCTCTCGAATCCATTCGTTGAAATCGTGAAAGGAATGGTATCACATCGTCAGTAGCAATTGCTTGCAAAAGTCGTGGTGCACCGGTTAATGATTGCATACCTGCACCAACTGTCGATAAAAAACATCCAACCTAACATTAGATTAAAATTATCATATTGTAAAATTTTGAAAATGAAAAATGTTAAGTTCACAATTTTCTATTCCTTTTTCTTTCTTTTTTTGATTAGTATATAAAAAAATTAAAAATAATTAATGAACCTTTTTTACGTTAACTGTGATAATTAGTAATACACCCCAAATTTTTATTATAAAAATTAAGAAACTCTGAGAGAGAGAGAGAGAGAGAGAGAGAGAGGGAAGAAAGAGAGGGGAGAAAGAAGAATATAAGGAAGTAAACAAAAGATAAGCAAACAAAACCAACAAGGATAACTGTTGGATGAGGTACAGCAAGCTCGGCAATTGCTAATTTGCTCATCGCCGATTGACCAAATTTATCACGGATAAACATTTCCGAAACAGATGCGCCAAATAGAATGACACCACTTAGGTCTAATAATAATAATAATTTCAAATTTTAATTTATGGTAACCATTTAAGTATAACATTTTGGAACATTGCAAAAATTATCAGATTATTATTTGATATGTGTATATAATTTTCATCAATTAATATGCAACTAATTTTCATATATCTAATATGGTTAAAAATTGATTAATGAAAAAATGGTATTATCTATCTGTTTTCATCATATCAATTACAAATAATAAAACGGCGCGACGGAATTTTAATTAAAAATAAAATTATAAATGACTAGAGGAAAAAAATGGCATAAATTTGATGGAAAATTTTAATCTTGCAGATATAAATTACAAAAAAGTCAAATAAACATAAAGCAAATTTAAAAAAAAAATTATGAAATATTAATTGTATATTTTTAATGATAATTTTAAAATACTTGTTAAATTTTGTAAAATCAGTAACATTTATTTTTAGTTCCTAAAGTGTTGCATATTTTTTATCCTTTTCTTTTTTGTTTTAAGTTTTAATGAGCTTCAATGGCAAAATAAATAATTAATGAACAGCCATTGTTATTTGTTTATATTACCACACTGAATAATTGTTACCAAATTTCACTGCATAATAATTTCAGATGAAAAAATTTTTCCAAAAAAACCGATATTTTTGCAATGTTACCATCCCTCCTCAATGCTTATTTTTGAATTCATTATTATTTATTTAATTTGTTTATTACCATTTATTAATTAATTATTATTATTGTTGTTATTATCGTTGTTATTACCGTTATTATTACCGTTATTATCATCATCATTTTATCGTTATTATTACATTACAATCATGATTATCATTATCATTATTATTATCATTATTATTATTAATTATTACATATTGCTACTATTATTATTAGGATCGTTATTATTATTACTATTATTGTGATTAATATGGTCATTATTATGTTATTCTAAATTATTATCATTATATGTTAAGTAAGGTAAATAAATATGATGCCATCCACGATAAATTGGCTTAATGTTATGCTTTATCACTTTTTTATCCTTCACATTTTAATTACAAATTAATGACGAATTAAAAAGAACTGACAAACAATTGTAGTAGTAATTTGTGCACCAAGAGTACCAAGCGGTATTGAACGTGATGCATCTTTTAAATTCCCGGAACGATTTGAACCGGCCATTATTCCTAAATAATATTAAATTTTTTTTTTAAACTTTCATTATGATTTGGATTTTTTTCGAGAAATTATAAAATTTTATGTTAATAGGAACCTAAATTTTAAAGTTTCCTTATTCATTTTCAATGTAACAATTCCATTTTATATCTGACTTTTTTTTTATTAATCAAATTCTAATACAAATTTCAAAAAGAACCTGTTGCGGATGGAAAGAAAACACCAATTAATATCATAAATGAAGTTGCTTGATTAATATAAATATAAAATCCTTCATCATTATTTTGATCGGATTTTTCATGTGCAAATTTCTCCTAAACATTTAAAATTTTGATTTCAAAAAGTTTTAAATTATTCGCTGAAATTTTTGATCGAATTTTTTCTTATCTTTAATAAAAATTTCCTAATTTCTGATGCTATAATAGAGGATGGAATGACCTTTGTAAGTATATCACGCGGTTGCAAATATTTGCTCCATAAATTATCAAAAAATACACCGCTTGCAATGCCTGGTATAGCTATCTGAAAAATATATTTCCATCAAATTTCTTACATTATTATCAATCTTTCGCCAAATTTATTATTCCAAATTTATTTCAATGCGATATGCAAAATCCTCGAAGCATGATAAAAATACAAAAATACGATGAAATATAACGGAAACACGGAAACCCGACGGAAGCACAATGGAAGCCTGACGGAAGCACAGCGGGAAAAATAAGGGAATATGTTAAAATCTTCAAATAAGATAAAACAAAAAAACATTGCCAGCTGATAAAATTAATTGATAAAATCTATTTGATCAAAAATAACTCAAAACTTTATAAACAGAAAGGAATGATTAAATGTTTGAGATTATAATCGATGATTTTTTTTTTTCCCGAGAAGCTTATATATGACAGCGTTTTGTTACATTAATCAATCTATTACCGGAAGATGGTATGTGTGTTAAAATGAGGTCAAACTGTTTTTAGTTTATATTTATTCCTCAAACATAAAATGCTGGAACCTTTTTTCTCTTTAATTTAATTATTTAATGATCAAATTACTAAACTGGTTTAATATCCATTGAAAAAATTTAATTACTTACCTCTTCTCGAATTGCTGGTCGTCCATTTTTCTTCCAATTTTGTATTTTTACCATACGCTTGTAATATGCATCACAGGATATTGAATCATTTTTCATTTTACAGAAAAGTGGTTCCAATCCATTAGCTGTGCAATTAGGAACATATTTATATTGCTCAAAAAATGAAACTAAATCAACCGGACGATCACCTACCATGCAAAACCTGCAAAAAAAAAAAAAACATTGTACTTCAAGAAAAATAGAAGAAAAAAAAAAGACAAACTGATGTAAATCAATAATCAGTCGATATTAAATTAAAAAATTCTATTAAATGAAATAGCATATTAACTCCTTAACTGATTAATTAATCGATTAGTTATTAACTTCAGTGAATGATTAATCTATCCTTTACAACATTGATTTATGCCATTTACTGCTTTAGTTATTATTCTATTATTGTTGAATTTTCATAACTGGTTTAAAATTTGTTACATTTAAAAAAAAAGGAAGTTTCGAATTAGTTGGAAAATTTGAACGAATTTAAGTCAACCAATAAAATAAACGATCAAATGCAAATTTTTAAATATCGTTTCGTAAAATTATTCTCATATATGTTAAAAATTATATTTTCATCATTAATTTTTTTTTAAATCAATGATGAAGTTTTATTTTTTTTTCCTCCGTTTTTTTTAATTCATTTATTTTGTAATTTTATTGATGTAACAATCCAAGATAAATATTATTGCTTAGAAAATTTAAAATTTTTTACTTAAGATCATTTGATCCGTGATATTTTAAAAATGCTCCAATGAATGTGCAAAGTATACATGTTAAGACGACAAGTACAACTGGTAAAGCGAATTTGTTAACTACCTGAAATAAAAAAGATAACAAATAACTCAATCGTGTTTTTCTTTTTTTTTTGAATAAATAATCATAAAGAAGTGCAAATGTCATTATTTTTAGAATATGTATAGAAGTTAAAGGAGTTTCAAATTAATTAACAATAACAAAAACATTTATTAAAATTTGAAAAAAAAAAGAACAAGAAACCTTTACTCCAGCAAGCACTATTAACCCTAGAATAAGCAATAAACCGGTACCCAAAAGACGAAAGCAATTGTAAATATTATCAAAAATTTTTGCTCCAGGTATAAGGTAGAGCTGAAATTATTTAAAAAAATATGCATTAGTTAAAATTTTTTAAAAAAAGGGAATAAAAGAAAATTTCTTCAAAGAAAATTCATATTGGGATAAAAGAAAAATTAATTTTTGATAGTAAAATTTGACTGTTTAATAAAGCAATAATTAACTAAATGTATGTATTTTTAAAAATTATAATTATTGCTGATATATTTATTAAGATTAATTCGTATTTTTAACAAAAGAATTTGTTTCAAAGATCACATTAAGTATGGGGATAATCACATTATCTTTCCATAAATATATAACTTTTATGTGATCTTTTTTCTCAAACTGTCCTTTTTAATTTGCTCTATAATTAATTGTTTGATCTTTGTCTAATAACATATAATAAATCTTTTAGCTTATTTGAAATTTTTCCATGTACATTTTACCATTTCTTCAATGTTATCAAGTCGTTTTTTTTTTCAAGCAATAGGATGATTGAGCTATCTGAATTAAAGTTCAATTATATTATTAAAATTAATAGCTTACAATGAGTATTTCAACAGCACCAGTGACATACATTGAAGCAGCAACTGTGGTACCTAAATAAAACAGTATACCAACAGCACCACCAAGTTCTGGTCCAAGATTACGAGAAATCATATAATAAGGTCCACCATCAGGTACAACACCGTTCGTTGCTATT